TTTTTGAGATGGAGTCTCACTCTGTCACTCAGCCTAGAATGCAGTGGCACCATCTCAGCTGAGTGCAACTTTTGCCCCCTGGGTTCAAGCGATTCTTGTGTCTTAGCCTCCTGAGTAGCTGGGATTACAGGTGCCCGCCATCACACGTGACTAATTTTTGTATTTTTAGTAGAGACAGGGTTTCATCATGGCAGGCTGGTCTCGAACTCCTGACCTTAAGTGATCAGCCTGCCTCAGCCTCCCAATGTGCTGGGATTATAGGCGTGAGCCAACATGCCCAGCCTAATTTTTTTTCTCTCTTCAGATTTGCTGGGCTTACCTCCTTCATTCGTTTAGTGTAAATTCCCTGAGGATGGCCTGAGGGCCAGGCACTACCCTGGGTACTGGGAGGCAAGGGTGGACAGAGCAGGCAAGGAGAGTGGAGTGGAAGCACGAAAGTCATCACTGCCTATCTGGGTGGCACAAGCTATGCAAATCTGAATGGTCTGTGTGTGCCTCTCCTCTGCCCCCCAGGACCTGTCACAGCTGGAGCTGACTCTCCAGGCATCCAAGCAAAATGGCACCCAGCCCCGAGAGGTGTTTCTGGTCCTCAGTGTAAACAGTAATGTCTTCCTGCAGCTCCAGGCCTTGGAAATCCCACTGCACTTGGCCTATGTGAGTATTCCCTCCAACCCCAGCCTGAGGCTCTGGCCATGGGAGGTCCCTGCTGTCCATCTCTGTGGACCGGGGTCTCCCATCCCAGCAGCCCGGCCCTGCTTCTCATCCTGAAGTTATTCACCAGGGTCCTGCCTGGTGAATCCAATGGTTTCTGACAGAACCCAGAGGGCAGCAGGACTGCAGTCAAAAGTCTAGACCCAGAGGTGGGGGTCAGGCTGATGTGCAGCCCTGGCCAACTCTGATCTTCTGCATAGCCTCAGTTTACCTCTCTGTCCAGTGGGACGATTAACGCAATATTTCATATGATAATCTTTTCATTGTCTTTGAAAAAGTTACATGACGCCGGGCGCGGTGGCTCAAGCCTGTAATCCCAGCACTTTGGGAGGCCGAGGCGGGTGGATCACGAGGTCAAGAGATCGAGACCATCCTGGCCA